AGCAGTTCCAATAGGGTCTTCGCACCCTTTTGGGTGCTCGGACCCTAATGATCTGCAAGATGGAACAACCACTGAAACAGGTTGAAACACTCCCCGAGCTGCTGCTTTATCTTTCTATCTCTATCTATACAATAAAATTTACACTGCAGAAAGTATTAGGACATGAAATAATGACGGTGAAGTTCAGGTGCTGATGCTTTGATTTGATGATTTTTACATTCAAATTGGATTAACTTTATAAGATTCACCATGAGAGCATGAAGGGATGTGACAGCAATACCTATGAAATATATTTAAAGCTGCACTTAGTCTTAGCAATGGAGGAAATGACTTCATCTAGTGTGAAATACGTCAGACAGCAACAGAAACAACACCTGACTCTGCTGCATGTTGAAGCATCTTTCAGCTCAGTTTTGGATTTGCAATTTTAAAGCTCTGTTCTGGTACAAACAACAACGTTCATTGTTGAAGAGCAGAGCCAGATATCTCCCTCAGAATTTAGCTGAGACAAAAACTTAAAAAGGGAGGGAACGCCAAACTTGATTGACCAGCTTGCCTGAAGTGTTACTCCAAATATCGTTTTGTGCAGTGTGAAAATCATTTACCACTTTCATCGTATCAATCAGCTTAATCTGTTGCCTCAAAGTCACCAAAAATCATGTTGCTTTTAAGCTGAAGGTTAGAACTTTAACCTCACTGTCATTCTTTCAATTTAAGCCCAATGAGCTGAGGCAATAATGAGGAGCATGATCTCTCCCTCTCTATCCGAGCTGTTCTTGGGTATTGCACATATCTGAGCAAAATAAGAACAAGCTACTCTTTAAACATTTCTGGAAGAGCTACCACCTGCCACTAGCTTCCTCTTTCACTTCCAGCCAGCTTATGTTGCACAATCAGACTTGTTGGGCAACAAAGAAAAAAAAAAGAAGCTTTTTCTGCGCTACACATTTTCACTTTCTGTTTTCCTGCACTCAGATTTACTCCAACCTGCTCCACCTGCAGATGGCTGCCTGGACATGATGCCACCAGCACAACTTCTGAGGAAAAACCTCAGAGCACAGACAAGGCCCGCAGAGAGGCAGACAGAGAATAAAGTAACAGCTGAGACTCAGGCTGTGCTGAACATCACCAAACCTCCAGCTGCTCATACAGGCCAATTAAACACTTCTACTTGAAAAAGATGGTGATTATTTTTAGGGTCTTATGGGTAAAGAGAGGAAGTATATCCAGATGGATGATTCTTTTGGGGTTTTCATGTCTTTATGTAGCTATCAGTGTAATTATTAAAGATCTATATGCACGATCTCAAGTTCTTTTTTGTATTTCACGGCCCCCATCAGCTACATTTCCACATCATTCTTTGAAACAGTTGCACATTTCCTTACACTGAGGCAGTATATTGGTGAAAAAAGAGAGAGTTATAAATACATTTACTGGGTCTGGAGAATAGCTGATCACATTACCTCCATTCAGCCTTGTTGTGAAGGAAAGAGTTGCACTGTTGAGGAAGTTGGCTGTCATTAGACATGGACTCCAAAGTAGAGAGGATCTGCTTGAACACCGGTCGTTCCTAAATGCACATAAAAGCATTTGCTCTGCATATGACTCGAATGAAGACGTACACATGCTGTAGATTTGCATGTTAATGTGACTCACTTTTGGTTCCGTCACCCAGCACTTTCTCATGAGCTCGGCGAAGCTTTTAGGACAGCCGCTCGGAATAGTTAACCTCTGAAAGACACACACAGATGAGCTTTAACGGATTACGTCAACATTTTGAAAACTACACGTTCACTTTTTTAAGAGTCAGGTTTGAAGATCAATACCACTCGTGTCTGTCTGTTAAATATGTACAAGCACGCTAAGCACAAGACTGGAAACCAAAGGGAACCTGCTGGTTTGGCTTGTAGTGCATTCACGTGGTGTCGGAATAATTGTAGAAAAACAGTTAGAACCTGGTGTCGGAACAACAATTCAGAAATTTGGTGCAAATTTTTGATAAATGACAAGAAAAACTGTTGACATTATACTCGCAGAAAATAAATGTTTTGTTGATGGCAAAGACTTTCGATCCATAGTGCAAATTCATGTGTTGCATATTAAATTTCCTGCTAATATTTGATTTGAACTGTGGTATTAGATTGTAAACATTAGTTGCTGTCCATTTAGAGTCACCAGGATTAGTGACTACATGTGTTACAGCAGTAACCCGGACAACAAGTTTCCTCGACTCTTCATTGTCACACATGTACTGGAAACAGCTCTCAACATGTTGTTTAAACGCTCTGAGCAATAAAATGCAACCTACATTCTTGTGTTGATGTTTCCGCATTCCAGTGAAAGCACATTGAAGCTAGAAAAAACACTTCCTAACTTGAAATGCGATCATGCGAGGAGCACAGGGATGCACTAGTTGTTCTCAATGACCTGCTGGTTGCCTGACATAGATAGATACCCACACAAACACCTTGTAAAACTGCAATTTGATGTGTTAAAACTACATTATTTTACTGTATTTGGTTAAACATATGAGATATTGTGTGTTGTGTTGAGACAAAAACCAGCACAGATGTTAATCTTTTTTCATTTCAAGTTGCTGGATCATGTGTTAAGTCAGAGTGTGTTCGCCCCACACAGCCTGCTCAGCTACTGATTGTACTCAATCCCTGCGCTCATCTCACTTCACTTTTTTGAGCCTCGTCTCCTGTGTCCTTCGTGCTCCTGCCTGTGACCTAAAAAATCCGTCCTGGTGCACCATCAGGAAGGATTTCTCAATTCAAAATGCATCCCGAGGAGCAATGAGCTATGAGCAAGGACGCACAGGTCAAGTCTTTTCTGCATCCATGACATAAAAGAGGCGACACACAGCTGGAACATACAAACCATGTATGGAGCACAACTATATATTCTATATCAATCAATCAGAATATGTCACCCTTCAGTTTTTTATTTTGTGTGTGATGCCTCTTTTTACTTCACGGTAAGCTGCAGCAAAACAATGGATGGATGATGTAGCTGTGTCGTATTTAATTGACTTTAAAACAACAGCTTTGAGGTAATGGTGTCTTATTTTGTTAAATGACTGTTGTCTCAACTCTCTCCTTGTGTCTTATCCTTACCTCCTCCATCTGCACCTTTCCTGGGAGGGACTAAGACAGGAGGAGAGGAGTTGAGGAAGCACAAAATGAGAAACGAGAAGGGCGGCCTGTCTAATCACACCTTTCCTTGTGTTTTTCATGCACTCACTGTTCGCCCTTGTTTCCTGTCTTTATGCTAAGCTCAGTCTTCATATTTACCATACAGACACACGAGTGGTATTCATCTTCTAGTGTAAAAGTATGGAAGTGTAATTCTAAAAAATGTTTCAACTTTGAACGAGATTTTTTTTACCTCAATCACACACCAGAATGGATTAAAGTAGGATAATCCTGAGATGCTGACAACATATAAATCCCCACAATACGTTGAAGAGCCACAACATCTATTCGGCGTGAAGGAAGGTTTACTTATCTGGACAATGATGATCCTCCAGTTGAGGGTCAGTACTTTATATACACATGTAATCATGCAGTAAAATACCTCGTTCTTCTCCACCACGAGCCAGGCCACTTGTAAACCTTCCAGGCCTTTGAAGGGTATCTCGCGGGTGAGCATCTCCCAAAGCACCTGCCACAGAAGTCAAGAGCCAAGGTCAGCAACCAAAGTTATATTCATATAGAACAGAGCACATATACAAATAAACACGACAAACATTTATTTCCCTTGGAAACGCAACGTAGGGAGACAAAAATATTCATATTAAATTCGAAGGCCGTCATGGTTTCTGAAGTACAATGACAGAACTCCCTTAGTAATTTATTTATTTAGCTTCTTTTCAGCTGGTATTTTAGAATTAACAACCTGCACCAACATCCTAAAAATTATATCATGAAAAGGTTGCCATTTTTTAAACTTCATTTACCGTATATGTGGACTACAACACTGGATTTCTGCTTCCTGCCACCTGCTGCCTTTTGTTATATGTATTTTACCCTACAAATCAGTTCATCATGAAGCTGTTTGAAGCTAAACTGTATACCTAAACTTGCCGGCTTTCTGCAGCACACTAGACATAAAAAGCACTCATTGCACTCATCTGTAAGGTCTGCTAAGATTTTAAAATCCTGATGTACGGAAATGGATTTTTTAATTTCTTGGAATTTCACATCAGTAATTCACTCTTGTGCCACAGACAATGTGATTTTTAAAATGACTTTAGGCTAAAAACCACTTCCAATCTGAACCTACTTCCTAAAAGTTCTAGACGCTTTTAAGAAACAGACACAGTAAGTTTCTAAGATGCTGTAGTTCTGCAAAGGTCAAAATTGCTGCTTTTGTCCACTTCAGAGAGAGAAAAAATTGCAGAAATTAAAATATCGGCCGGAATGGTTGCCTGAGTTTTTTAAAGCATGAGGGACTTAAGTGCAATTTCTTCAAATGTGCTCACCATAATTGAACAAAAAATCTCCACAAGTTGGGTTTTTAGCCTGAAATAAAAAGCCTGTCGATCAAAGCCTTCCTTTAACAACAAAAAAGCTTTTTTAAAATGGGTTCCAACTTCTTCAGCTGAGGCTGGGAGCTGCATTGCTCTTGTCAATCATTCACTTTCATGGTCTTTAATGTGTCATAAGGAATAGATTTTCATTGGATTTAATGACATTATTTGTGAAAAAATTGAAAAAGAACAGACAGAAGGTATAAAACTTCTACAAAATGGCCTCAAGAACAGGTCTACACGTTGACCTTCTGCATGACTCAACACATTCTAAGTAAAAAGTAAAACCTACAAACTTCTCCTGTTGTGTCACAATGAAGTCCTTCATGCACTGAATCAGCCAATACCTGTCCTTTATAATATCAGTCATTACAACTAATCCCTTTTAAAGGCTGCTCTCATTCACTATTCTGTTTACATTTACTTTAAATAAGACCTCACATTTCTGGAATATCCTTTAATCCAACCTTGTCGTTCCAGTGGGTTAACAAAATAAACACATCACGTATGTTTAGTTATACAGCTAACATACTAGCATTAGCATTTGTTAGTACTCATTTGGATTCTTGATGTTAAGATTTATACCTGCTTTGACTCCTAACTGACTCTGTGGCTGTTTCAAGTTACTCTCACTGTGCTTCAAGGGCACCAACTGCACTAGAAAACCAAAACTGCCTTCTTTGATTTGTTTTGTAGTGTGCATGCCCAGAATACATAGACACATCCCCACTGTGCCGAGGTGTGAGAGAGGCATGTCTGGTTTTGAATCCTCAGACGACTGGTTCTGTGTTGTACTGGACCATCGTGGCGAGGACGCTCTCATTACCAGTTCCAACCCTCGTCTATAGTCATGAGCTCTGGGCAGTGACTGAAAGAATGAAAGTTTCCTCCATTGGGTGGCTGAGCTCAGGGTGAGGAGCTCGGACATCTGGATGGAACTCGTAGTAGAGTCGCGGAACGGAACCACCCAGGTTGTTCGGACATCTGATCATGCTGCCTCCTGGGCACCTTCTTCTGGAGACTTTTCATGTACATGCAGCTAGGAGGAAACCTATGCAATAAATCTGATTTGGCTTGCAAACACTTCTGCATTCCCAAGGTTCTAAAAAAACATTGTTGGGCTGCCGCTTTAGCTCACCTGGTTGAGCTGGCGACGCATGTATAGGAGCTATAGTCTCCGATGCAGCAGCCATGGGTTTGAATCCCACTCATGGCCCTTTGCTGCAACCCCTTCCCCCACTTTCCTGTCTCTCTTTCGACTGTCCTATCTAAAAAAAGGCCCAAAAAATTACTTTACAAAAAATAAAAAACCTTGTTCAGGAGTGGGACATTTGGAATGACCTGCTTAACCAGCTGCTGCGACCCCAGATGAGCAGAAGAAAACGAATAGATGATCCACAGTGTATGAATGAAATGCATCCTCCAAGTGGCCTTGACGCAGACTAGAAAGTACTATAATGAGAACTATGCATTTGTGGTGTCCGCAGCTCGTCCACAATGTAGTACAATCTCGGCCTTAAGCCACAGCTGGACGCGCTTTCAAACAAGTCCGGGGTGGAGACCTGAGTCTTCACATATAGGAATTTTTATGCAAAGCATTTAGGTTAAGAATAAGGCCAAGTTGGACAATTAGAAGAAGCTATTTTTGCCACAAAAATGATCTACATAGTTTCTAAATTTAAAACTGCATCCGAGTGCTTTGACTCCTTATTTTTTTTCCACTCACCACACCATAGGAGAAGGTGTCACAGGTCTCCGACACGGGCAGACTCTGGATCACCTCCGGAGCCATCCAGGGAAACGTGCCCACCAGCGACATGTGTGTTGTGTGAGTCAGGAACTTGGATGCCCCGAAATCACAGATCTGAAGCGACGAAAACAGAAGTTAGACGAACGCTGCAGGTAAGTGAAGATGTTAATTTGGGTATCCGTAGCAGCCTTTTCATCCACAAACTTACTTAATGTGTGTAATACTTAATATGCAACAATCATAGCGGCGATGCAGATTTTTATCTCATCTGAAGGTAATGCTACAAATGTGAATCTCCGCTCTACTGTAATCATGTAATTTAGGTCTGGAGTCAACTGCTGCTTCAGTCACTGCAGTGTCACAGACAAATTAAATGTAGCACACTCTGCTCATTTCAGAAAATGTGGCTCTGTGATACATCAGATACAGAACGTCCCTAAAGAGTCTGAAGCTGCTGAATAGTTTTACATAATGTGCGGTACAGCATCTTGCTATCAGCCCTGTTTTGTTGTTTTTTTTGTCGTAGAATTTTGCAGTAATAATGGCAACTTCAGGATGAGAGGTCACAAAAAGACAGTATTAGAAATAATAATAAAATAGTGGACTAAAAGAACACTATGCAGAGAACACTCCAAAAATGAGAGGATGGGTTTTGAGCTGTTAACCAAGGATCCAGTGTAAAGAGATCAGGATTGGAGTCTCAGTGAAGATCTGGTCGAAAATAACAGCAAACCAGCCTTCTGGATCACTTTTTAAATCCTCCTTTCTCCTAACTCATCCACTCATCCACCTGTAATAAGGTGCACCAGGAACACTCTCAGTGATTCCATGTACATGCTAAGTTAGTCACTGCCCTCTTGTGTCCGTACACTGCAGATAAATAACACGCCAGTATTTCGTGCTCATGTTTCGTTTAAATGGAGATAAAATATGACTGGTGTATTTATCGCAGTCCTGGTTTATTGCGCAGTATTTTAGGTATCCGTGATTAACTCCAGATTATAAATCATAATAAAACCTACCTTGAGAACTTTATCTGCAGCTAAAACCACTGAAACAGAAAATTTTAAAAAGTCAATAAAAGCAGGTATTCACATAAAATATCAAACAATTATTCATTTTGGACATAATAGGCTTGTATTAGAAATGAAATCAGTTACCGTTCCTGGATTTCAGGTCTCTGTGAATCACCTTAACAGGGGCCTCTGAGTGTAAATAGTGCATTCCTAAAGCAGAAATAAAGAGAGGTTTTTCAGAGGAAGATCGTGGAACAAACTCTGACGTAAATTGGTGGTTCTGAATAATCACATGAGACAATAAATCCTTCAGCTGATAATGTTCTATGAATGTGTACCGTGTGAGTTTATTAGCAAAGAGCTGCGACAGATACAGAACTCCTTTAAGTATATATATGCTTTTTATGTGAACACAGAAATCAGGAGAATACAAGCTTCTTGACTCGTGTTATTTATATTTCTACATAACAGAACACCCTACGGCAGCCTGCACACAGTAAAACACACTAACACTGGTGTACAGTGTCAACATCAATAATGAGAACAACACATGAGGGCGAGACACCACAAAGTCAGATGTGCTAACTTGCACAGATGTTTGAAAAAAATGCAATTTAACCATCATCTAATGTGGTTTTCAGACGTCACCACCACATTAGTACAGGTTAGAATTATTGTAGATGAATTAGGAAATGCATCTGCTTGTCTGTCATCCGTCTGCATCCTTTGAGATTATGAATCGTAATGTGGACAATCCTACAGCAACAGGACTAGTAGCTGGTTAACTGACGGAAATTCATCCACACACAGGCACTGCTCAGGGTTCAATGTTAATCAGTTCCCCTTGTATGAAAATATCCAGACTGATATTAGCTGCAGCACATGTAGCAGAGTATCGCAGCTGAGCAAAGAGTGGTCTTTACAGCATTTTGAAGGTAGTTTGTGAATTAAAATGCCGGAAAGTTAATTTCAAAGTCTTCAAAGTAACTCTAACATATATGTAAAGATTTTTTTTTACTCCCAAACGTCCAGTATCATTTCTTCTAATTATACAGATTATAAACAAATGTGTACACAATTGATCTTGGAAGAGACAAATAAGCTTAAACTCAAATTGAGGTCTTCTGTGAAAAAAAACATGTTTCAGTGGTGGTCAAGCATCTTTCTAGCCTTCATTTCCTTCATCTCTTGATGCTAGTAACATAGTTAATATAGACTGTTTGCTATCCAAAATGTAAAAAACAGTATCTAATACTTTTATTTATACAGCTTAGATACAAAAACTATATTCATACGGCTTTGTTTTGTCTCGTTTTGTTGTTGTTTCATCGTGTTTGTGTTGCAAGGTTTAACTGTGAGTGCTGATGGCAAGAAATTAAATGAAAAAAGAGTGCCTTTATTATTCTTCTAGCATTTGGGGTCATGATGTTTCATAAATACTCTGTATGTGGAAACTTCAAAAAACAAACTTGAACTTAAACTAAACTCAGGCTTTCTAAAATTGTGATTAGAATCTAATCAAGGAAACAAACAAATCTAATATTTACCTCTGGCAATCTCTGCAGCCCACGTCATGATCTGTCCCATGTCCATCTTCTCGCTCTCATCACTGGACAGGTAGTCGTACAGTGAGCCACCGCTTGCATACTCTGAGGAAACAAAAAAATACAACTTTGTGTTACTGAAAATGGAAAAAAAATGAACAAACACATACAGAGGGGAAAGCAACATATCTTAAATTCTTGCCTTGAGTGATGCCTTAAACACATAGAGTAAGTGCAGCATGGGATAGATTTAATGAAAACAACTGAAAACTTTGCTCAGACCTCCTTCAAGCCAGCTGGCAGCATCTTGCTTGCAGAGTGCTGCCAGAAGCGGCCTGATGCTGCCGAGGAGCTCAGCTTATCACCGTCTAATTGAACACGCCGAGCCCTCTTGTCGCCTCAGGACATGTTTGTTAAATTCAGATTTTTCTAAACCACCAAAAAAAAAAAATCCTTCTGCTATGTTTTCAAAGCTTTTATACACTTTCATTGGCCCATTACAAGCGCATACAACTTGATAATCATGTAGCCTTTCGCAAAATCCCCTCCACAAGACTGCCCAAGACTCAGACAGAAAGCTTTGATGAAGCCTTTGTAAAATGAAAGATGCGTCGAATGGGCACAAAACATTTTCACTATCTGTGGAGGAAGGCTGTCTTGTGAAGCAAAGTGCTTAAATAAAGATAAACAAGCACCAGCTAAAATAGCAGGAACCATCTGTTTGTGCATAATAACCCAATCATATCCCAACACAGCACTGTAAACATGCACAGGCACCAAGACCTAATTACCAATCATAAAATACACCAAGGATTTTTATTATTATGAGCCTGAATTTCATGTGGGCCTTTTCACTTGTGTCAGAGTAAAAAATCTGTGAGCAGACACTGAATCTTTAATACGGCTGTAATACAGCTTTAATGCAGCCACTTCACCTGTGCAAGTCACGACACGTCTGCGTTTGCACTTTGCTCTTCAACAAGCACAACCCCATTCCATAAATAACACAACAAACTGTGGCAGCGCTGTGGTACTGTGGCACCTTTTTTTTTTTCGTCCTCTAACGCCACAGAAAAGCTTTAAATAGAAACAGAAAAAGCACCTTGTGATGTGTTCAAAAAGCAGATGTACCTTCGCCCCGACACGATAACTCACTGTAACTCATTTGGTTTATGAGGCCACAGACTGACAGCAGATATTGTTAAAGTCCTGCAGGTCAACAGACACAAACAGGTTTCTCAAATAGGTTGTAGACATTGGCCTGGTCAGCCGTCAGAGGAAATTTATAACAGAGCTGATGAATGTGGAAACGGCACGGCACCATAAACATTTTTTCTGTATCTGGTGCTAATTACATTCTGCCTTGATAAATAGAGATAGCATCCAGCTCCTTGACAACAAAACCGTTCTGTTCCAGCTCCAAAATACTACAGAGGCTTCAAAGGAGCCGCGCATCATGAATGAACACTGTATACATTTTGGGTTTCTTTCCGAACTTCTGTGTGAACACGGCCTGCAGTTCAGCCCAGTTTAGTCAAACAGTCACTGAACTGTTCTTTTGGTCACTAATGGCTTGTTGATTGCACAAAGCAGCACATATATTTTTCTTTTTTGCATAAAACCTTCTTAGAGCAAACACTTTTTGGCAAAATTTTAAATAAAACACATGAGAAAGTGATTTAGATGAAATATCGAGTTCATTCCACCAACAGAACTCCACGTTACACATAATTAGTGTGACTCTTTCTTTCTGTTTTAACAATTTATAGCTCTAAATTTGGCGATTTTTGTACAGATGACAGGAGTTTAGGGGATTCGGGAGCAATTAAGGTTCGTCTGCTCCATTCTGCAGTAACAGGAAGTAATAATTTCATCATCCTAATATGACACTTTACATTATATGTGGACTTAACTGACTGACGCTCAGTGGCTGTGATGGGCAGAAAAATCCATATCTTGATGTGATGTCAAGATACTCAAGCACTGTGGCAGGAAACTTAGGTAGATAAGTTTCCTGTCGAACTTGTTGGGTTTGTCTTGCAGCGTTTTCTAATTTAGTTGCAGTTTCGTCACAGTATGAAGAGAAGTCGTGTCATTTTGAGCATGCATTTATTATTTTCTGACACCTTGATGTTTGTGTCTTTGGTTTCCTGAAATTTCACCCAAACAAATGTTAATATTTTTAACAACCATTTGCCACAGTTTATTTAAACAGGTAGCCCCATACTGCGAAGCTAAATTCTACCATTTGCACATTACACAGGTTTTTTTTTTTTTACTGCTACTTGTGATTATTTTTTTTACTGAATTATTGTTTTTTATTGTTTATTATTGGCTTATGTTGTCGCTCTAACTTTCTTGTTATATCAGTTTGCATCAAAATTGGCGACGCATCAAATTCCCCTTTAAGGACAACAAAGATTATTCCTGACTTGAATCGACCTGACGTGTTCTTCTTTATTCGTTTACCACTTTTTTTTTTATTTTGAGAATTCAATTTGTACATTTCCACTTCATCTGAAATGTGAATAATTGGCTGGTTATTTAAGATTTATAAAGGAATCAATAACCTCGGGCGGCCGTGATAAAACCGCACAACAAAATGCTCTTTGTATAACATTTCTATGAAAGTAAATAAAGAAAAGCAAAAGCACAATCTGTCAGTGTTTCCCTTTCACCTCCCTCCGATAACACACATCAAATAGATAAAGCCGAGAGAAGAGAATATTCATATTACTCTCCTGATTGTTTGGGGAAGAAAAACAAATCAAAGTTTACTTTAAACACGTATTGAGGACAGATGTGAACTGCTGGCTTGTATTTATCAGGTTTCCTGACCAAAGCAACAAAGACGATCTTGTGTGTGCGTTTGAGCAGCAAAGTGGGAAGCTGTGTATTGTTATCATGATGAAAGGAGATGATACTCCCCGTTCAGGATGTGAGCGAGCCTGTTACATTTTTCATTCACAGCATGTTTGACTGTTTCCTTAACAGGCAACAACAACAAGAGAAAACATCAGAAATGTCTGAGCTGTGGGGAAACGTTAGCTTTCCCCCCAACATGCCACCGACATTATTATAACGGCACGGTGAAACACAAGCTGGATCTGGTGGTTCATCTGTGGAGTGAGTAAACATGTTAGGAACCTATAACGCGAGCTGAGCTGTTTATACTAAACTGCTGCTGTAGGGCTGCGTCGTCGTGGACTTTCAGCTAAGACTGATGTGTGTCAAGATAAAGAGCCTCCTTTGTTTTTGCTTTTCTGAAAACAAGTTTCGCAGTTTCAAAGCTGCAAATGAAGTCACATCTACCAGTAAGGCTGAATTCATTCATTCATTAATGGACGGAATCGCTGTTTCTGGTTATTTTCGTGCGCTATATGAGACATCCATCCATCCATCATCTATACACACTACACTAATCCTCACTGGGGTCGTGGGGGGACTGGAGCCTGGACAGGTGGACACCCTGGACAGGTCACCAGTCCATCACAGGGCTACACTTAGAGACAGACAACCAAGCACACTCACATTCACACCTACGGACAATTTAGAATCAACAATTAACCTCAACATGTTTTTGGACTGTGTGGGAAGAAGCTGGAGAACCCGGAGAGAACCCACGCTGCACGGGGAGAACATGTAAACTCCACTAAGAAAGATCCCGGGTGCCCTCACCGGGACGCGAACCGGCGACGGTGCTAACCAGTGCCCCACCTTACAGCCCCTATATGAGACAGCACTTAAATAATATTCAATCATCTGGTCTAAGTCCTGCCATCTACACCATCTGATACACAACACCAAGTTATTAGCATGTCTAACCCACCTATTATCATCCAATATTTATTTTAGTTCTCTTTTTGACTACTTTTATTCAGCATTATCAACTTACAGCGCACATGTCAGACTTGCTTGTTTTAAAGCTGAATGGCTCTGCATCCACAAAATGTTGTTGAATATTTCTACTGTATTTTATAATATCCTTTAGAAATTCTATACAATTGTTAAGTTAGCAGCATCTGTTGCAGTACAATCTAGACAGTTTTCAGCCAGCAGCAGCACCGTAACGCTCTGTTTCACCTGCTAAATGTCACTGAAACAGAAGCAAAACAACGTTCTGCTCATGTCCATCGCTGCTGCTTGCTGTCGTGTAATTAACTGAAACTGGACGCTGCTTTTAGGTAGATGGTGCTAAAGAGTGTCAATCAGAAATGCCTGCATTGGTCCTGATGTTGATCCTAAAAATCAATTTGGGAGCATTCAATTAAAGGTTTGTTTACGTAGATCTGCATTATTACATAAGTCCTCTGAGGGCACTTGACATAGACATCACAGTTTCATATTGCTTACATTAAATTCCAGAGTGTAGATAATTGCCCGTCATTACTAGCTTTCTTTTGTTAAGCCTCCTGACTTATTGACAGCTCACTGACATGATGAGTTGAAGTTGTATCTGTGCACAGAAGCATGGATTACATGAGCTGATTATTGATAATGTACGTCAGCAGCCTCTACAGAGTTTCCCTTTAGCAGTATTAGGAGTGTACTGAGGTGAACAGAGGTGAACTTTTTAAAGTATAAACAGCATCTATAACTAATTTCCAAAGACTTTCCTCCTTTTAGGTGCACCATGCATGGGTGGTATCCCAGACAACTGCTTAGCTCGCCATTGCCGAAAAACACCCCTGTTAGTCAGACTAAACAAATAAAAAGATTTGAAGATATCACATACAAGGTGTCTGAAACGTTCCAGGACTGGTGTCATAAAAGATGTATTTCAAACCCAAACTACAAACTATGAGTTTTCCCCTTCAGACGATCAACCAGCATGTCTACAAAGAGATCCTGTTTGCTTCGTTCAGTGCGTGAGAAGAGGCGAGAGTTGTGGCAGGACAAGTCGTGGCTGCTTCACCATGACAAGGCGCCTGCTCACAACGCCCTGAGCATCTGACAGTTCCTGGCTGAGAAGAACATCACCGTGCTGGAGGAACCTCCCTACTCACCCCACCTGGCTCTGTGGGATTTTTTCCTCTTTCCCAAGCTCAAGGGGGTCATCAAGGGGACCCGTTTTGAAGGCGTGGATGACATCAAGATGGCTGTGATGATGGAGCTGCAGAGGATCCCGGGAAAATCCTTCCAGGAGTGCATGGTGGTGTGGCAGAGAAGGCTGGAGAAGTGTGTTAGACTCCAGGGGGATTACTTTGAAGGGGGAAAACTTGTAGTTTGTAGTTTGGATTTGAAATTTATCTTTTGTGACACTAGTCGTGGAACTTTTTTTACACACCTCGTAGATTCTGGAAAACTGTTAGATAATCGCTTAATTTGTCCAAATAATGACAGCAAAAGCCCTAATTATACATATTATATGCTACCTGTGTAGTTAATTATCATTAACCTGTGATTTGGAGGAACCACATGTACAGCAGACAGCAGAAAGAATAGACGTTCCAAAAGAAAAAAATAGGCCAAAGACATATTATAAAAAACTATCTGCAACCAAAGAATCAAGCAGATTGTCCTAAATTCACATCCACAAGATTTTTATTATATCATGGAGCAGAGTGCAGATAAATTGCATTAAATCAAGAAAGGCTGAAACACAGCATCATTATAATAAAACAGCCTGATTTGTTTTTATGCTAAAATATTTGATTTCCTTGTTGTTATTGTTTTTTATTACATTTAATCTCTTTCACAAATTGAAAAAAACCTAAATTATTGAACAAAAACATTTTATTCAATTTCTGGATTCAACACGGCTCTTACTTCACAGAAATCTTCACTCTAAGGATATATGCAATAGAGACTTCAGGTTTCCACATTTCACTTGTGAAAGCTGCCCGACAGACAACAGCAGGCGTCCACACAGCTTGTATATGAACTGCGCAGCTATTTAAGAACATAGAAACCTTTGCCTTCCAGCTATATAATTTGAAAACAGCCTTTTACATACATCACTCTGCACAGTGAAGCTCGAACATCCAAGTGAAGTAACAATGTGCTAAACACGTTTTCGAGCTGTGCGTGTAAATGGCTTCTCCACAGGATGACCTGCCGGACAAAAGTTTGAGCAGAGGCATGATTGGCCCCTTGTTTTCTAACAGTCCACAGCTATACAAGCTTCATAAGCGGCTTTATTCTTCCCAGCATCTGACCTAGACAAAAAAAAAAAAACAGGGGGCACACACCTACTGTATGAATGTGTGTACTTCCTGAAGCCTCTGGCATTCACTCACGCTGCCATAGAAACCTCTGTCCCATTCACTGCTGAGCAAACTATGCAGCGGGTGCAAACAGGTTCCGCTGCTGCATTTTCTATCATGATGTCGTTTTATACTGTTTGTTTTATGCTGCTGATTACTGACACCAACCTCGGACGGGAAACACATGACAACTGGTGTTAATGCTTTATATAAAAACCTACCGATGACGATTCCATAGTTGGGAGCCTCAACAACTGCGCCGTAAAACTGGATGATGTTTCGGTGGCTGAGGACGCTGAGAATTTCCGCCTGAGTGAAGAAGACACACAAGAAAACATGACTGGAATTTTTATCATTACAATAGAGGTTCCTTAAGACTAACTTACATAAACAAGACTGAGTTTGACGTAAATGCTCGCATTTAACAGGCTGCTCTTGAGGAGGCATGACTGTTATGTTTATGTTCTCGATCTATTTAAATTTGCTAAATAGCACAAAACACAAACTTATGTAAGAAAGTTTAGATTTTGACGTCACAGTTGCAACAGATAAATGAAAGCATGTTGGGGCCAAAAAGTGATCATCTGCCAAGAACTGATCGCACACCTTCTGTGTAAACTGGATCACCCAGTTATTAGACGCCTACAGTGGATTATATGTGGATTAAAACAGTCATAGCATGCAAACACACACAACTTTATGTCCATGGTAACAGCAAGTGTGTGTCTTCAGGAAAATTAGTGTTTTATGTAATAGAATAACTGTGACCAAAAAATCGTTTGCAGTTTGTTGTGTAACCAGAGTGACATTTAGGATAATTACATGTAATATGATCATGTTTGGGCGGTCTGTGTTTGTTATGTCTACTATCCTTGTTTATACTGTGATGAATATGATTTAGAAATTAGTTTTTTATGTAAGCTATATAAATTACCTCTATTGGAATTACTCTATGGGCAATATTCTTCAAAATTTGTGAATAAGATCTGGTCATTTTGATGCCACAATTAAGGGCTGCAATTACTTTTTGGCAAGTAAGTTAAATTGGTCCTTTAAAACTATTTCAATAACTAAAAAAAATGGATTGTTCTTAATCTGAGCAGGTAAAATCATGCCCACATAAATGCTCCTGCAGATGGCAGATGATCACTTTGTGGCACAACACTGGTACAAACTTTCATGGTGATCCATCAAACAGATGTTGAGGTATTTCAGTTAAAAATACAGATGTGCACCTCATGGCGACACAGAGGCAGAGCAATGACTGACCAGTGTCAAGCTGTTAAAACAATACAATTAGCAAATAGCAAAGGCTGAATTGTAGGATTTACGTCATACAACATGTCTGGATCCAGAGTTTAAATTCATGCCATCCTCCTAGCGTTAGTCAGTCTTTTGACGTAAAATTGTTTAAAATCGACTTTGCATAATGAACTAAAGGTTAACTTTGCAAATCAAACTGCAACAACAGTCAAATATTTTTCCTAAATCATTCAGGGGATGTAAGAGTAAAAACCAGTGAATCAGTAAAAAGATTTGAAAAGTTTGTGCTCAGTCATCGAGAAGATATTGATGAAAGAGTAATTCATTAAAAAAAATTCCAACGAGCACTTCCTAATGGTGCTGAAAGGAAAAGTCAGAGCATCACTAAACTCACGTCGATCAATCCTCGGGTGACCATGAATATTTGTACTAAATTTCATGGTGATCCGTGACATGCTTATTGAGATATCTCTGCCTGGATTAAAGCAGTGGACCAAGCGGCTAAATATAAGACAGAGTACACACAGAGATATATTAATATATAATTCTGGCCCAGAAAGTCTCATGTGTTACATTTCTTGAATGAACAGAAACCTGACAAAATGAGTTCATTTAATTGTAACCAAACACTATAATTAAAGGAACAATTGGTTGAGTGTGAAAGGATTACATTATTATTTTCACTGAACAATCATCTCTCCAACACTTGAGTGAAGTTGAATGGATATCTGTGATCTTTTACAATTTCATAAAAGAAACGATGAATAATTTTCTGAACATCCTATCACAGGCCAACAAATGTAATACAATTTCCCTGAAAAGATTTCAAAGATAATTCTTTTTTTGTGTTTAAGACAATGAGCCAGTGCTTTCAATGGGATTTCAAGCACAGTCTCAGCTGTAATTGGGCCAAATATGTTCTTTCATTTGGCAATAATGTTTCTTTTGCCGCACATTTCTCAAAGTGGGGGAGTATAATGACCATGAGTGATGGGTACAGAAGTCACCACATCCCGCTAAATGGGGTAGCAATTAAAATGATTACAATACTGACAATTAAAAAGTATATGAAAAGCCCAGGCAATTACGACTCCTACCTCGTTTTCAATCTTGAGCAGTTTCTTCACCGCCACCTCTTTGTCCTGGGAGATCCACCTGGCTCGATACACACTCCCGAAGCTGCCGCCGCCGCAGTTCTCGTAGAAGAGGATGTCATCGAAGTTGATCTGCACGAAAGACGCGCCGGGAGACAACATCTCGAAAAGACGCTGAGCTCCGGCTCAGCTTCTGAGGGAGGGGGGGGAAAGGAAGGAAGTTCACAACAAAGTCCTGGTTGGGGAAAACAAAGTTACTGCTTCACTGTGAAACACACCATTTGTGACTGCAGATTAGACGGGAATCCAAAAGAGGCTGCTGCGCCATTGGCTGATTCTGCATCTAGTGTCAGTGTGATATTTTAACTGACCATCCCCTGCCTCGTCCTCTTTTCCACATACAGTCCTCATCACCGGTACCGTTAAGCAATGAGCTCTCAGGGTCCAGACTGCGCTTGTATAAGACCGATGGCATGCCTGGTATGCTGTGATCACACAGACTATTCCAGCAGGGTCTGCTGGGTTCGGTACAAGTAAGGCCACAAGCAGGGAGAGTGAAAACTGTTTTATGACAAACTGCCTCTGTCTCGGCGAGATCCTCATATTCTCTTTATCTTTCCAACTAAAAAAGGAGCTCTTCCTGCACGCGTAAAGGCCAAACATGATGTTATGTGTGCAAGCCAGGGTTAGGAGTATAATGCCTCCAAACCAGAGTCCACGCAGATTGATTATCACATCCCTTTGTTTGTCCGTAACAGCATAAAAGCATCTTGTAAAGAAATAATTCCATCATTACAGGAAATTGTAGCTCTGTTATTGTTCATAGGTTTCCCATTTACAGCTGAGCAATTACGGCTTTTAAAAGGCTGTTACCTGGGTCTTCATTGGGATTACTATCCGTCACAGTGGGAAATGCCTCCATTGTCACAGAGGGGAGCCATTGCTTCTGCTGATTTACTTGTATTCATGCTATACTTAGCCTCGCAGCAATTTGCTCAGTGGACCGACCCCCCCAGTATTGTCTGACCACTCAAGAAGCCAGGGTTACTGGGATATGGCAGCACTCCTGCAGTCCTTGCTGCCAGTTTCTCACTTAATAGCAAACACTGGTGTAAGCGCTGCAACAATAAGGGCCTGATAGCCGTATGTCAAACCACAGGTTGTTACTGTAATCAGTACTAAATGAAAAATTAATCACTCGGTGACAGCGGACAGTAAGGTCAGCTGCTTTCTCATGTCTTCACAGGCGGTGGTGTGGTTATACAGCTTTGGAAATCATTATTAGACCTCGGTGACCGACGTTTTCTGCCGCTTCCTTTGCGGTTCTTGATGAAGACGTACTGCATCTTCTTCTTAAGAAGAGCCGGTTTGCTGATTCCAAGCCAGTTAGCAATGGCTCTCTCTCTCTCTCACTGTATCCACCAAGAACAATGTCCTCTGGTCATCTCACTATTCTCTTCTTTCAGGCAGATACTTAATTCATCAACTTGCAGAAATGCAGGTAGCTCACACATAATACACATGTTTAAGAAGAAATAAGGTGCTGGTAGAGGAAGAAGCTGGGATGCAAATGGTGCTGACAGAATATATTGTATAAATACAGTATAAAAATAAGGTAGAGAAATAGTTTTTGATTCCTTGAGTTGTGGTGAACTCAAGACTACTGCATGATAAGATCACTTAGTTTGTATTACGTGTTGATTTAACATATACAGCTTACGTATATGTTGTTTTTCATGCTATAAACATCTAACAACTATGATAAAATCCCAACAACATTCTCAGTGTGTAAGGCCTGTTTGTGTGGACTTTATAAGAGAAAACAACAGGTAGTGTTATACATAAGCATTTGCAAAGCTGTATTTCATTACATGCTGTAGTTGTATTATTAAATAGTGATCAGTAACTTTGCTGTGTATGATACATAAAAGCTGCATTGTGTTGTTTAGACTATTTTACAGGGATATGATGCACTGAAAACATAATTAAAAGTGACTGCAACAGATTAAAGCAGAGTGAGTTTTATCTTTATATTTACCTTATTTTACTTTAGCACATAAATCAGCAGCTCATGTAAAGTTATCCTTGTTGCTCCAACATGCAGCCAACTTCCAGCCTCTCATTCACATTACTGCCAGTTAACGCTCCAAACACGTGAACTGTGTCCGACTCCTACCAAACATACGTACCGACATTCAGGGAGAAGTTCGGGGGGCTTCACAGCTTCTCTCCGTCGGTGCAGCTCAACCCCAGATCCAGGACAAACTCTCAGAAAACAGCCAAGAGTTCCGGAAAACCTCATGTGACGTCGTCTGATTTCTGTTTGACTGGTTGCACAACTCGCAGCAAGAAACCGACGCTGGCTGACGGACTGGAACCGCTCCAGCCCCCCATAACGATGACAACAGCTCCCCCTGCTGGACAAACCAGGGAAAGTCTCCCGTGTTGTTATCAGGTCCCGGGATGGTGGGGTTCAATGTGGAGTCTGCGGACCAACAGGAGACCACATTGAAATGAAGGATGAACCAGGGTTAGATGGCTGTTTTGTTTTTACAGTCTGAATCTGTATTAACAACTGAATTAGTGAAGTAAAAGGTTCTAAATATTTATAGATAGTAAGTAGATATAAAGTGAAACATACAGAAGTGCGTCAAAGTTGTTCTCATCACTTGATTAAATACTTTTTAAATATATGTGAATATGTTTTGTTATTTTAAAAGATGCATAGGAGTGTAATTTAATGGGCAGAAAATGGAAACGTGAAGAACGGTTAACAGACAAAATAACATCCGATAAAACAATGAAAGTTTCAGCAAAATTATCAAAAAGTAAGAGTGTAAAAATGGTCAATTTAAACTTTACATGCTCCGCAACCTGCAAAATATTATTTATTTTTATTTTTATTTATTTTTAATATTATTTAACTTTGGCCCTTTTGCTGTTGTGATCTGGTGTTTTCTTTTTTGCTGCTGTATTGCAATAATTTCCCAGGTCTGGGAAATATTTTCTGTTCTATTCTATTCTAAAATAAATCAGTCATAAGCAGCTTTTAAACTTCCATAAATATCTTACATTTATTACGTATTAGCTTGTAGGTAATACGTTCAGAGGAGGGGGCTGCAAGGTGGCTCAGTGGTTCACCTCGCAGCTAGAAGATCCCTGGGTCGCCTCCCGGTTAGGACACCCGGGATCTTTCTGTGTGGAGTTTGCATGTTCTCCCCGTGCAGTGTGGGTTCTCTCTGGGTTCTCCAGCTTCCTTCCACACAGTCGAAAAAACATGCTGAGGTTAATTGGTGATTCTAAATGGTCTGCAGGTGTGAATGTGAGTGTGCTTGGTTGTCTGTCTATAAGTGTGGCCCTGTGATAGACTGATAGACCTGTCCAGGGTGTCCACCTGTCCAGGCTCCAACCCACCCACGACCACAGTGAGGATTAGGTGGTGTATAGATAATGGGTGGATGGATGTCTCTACTGAAAAGTTCAGAAAGTACCAGAAAGTTCAGCCTGCCATCAATACACTTTCACTTGTGATGTGTCTTCTACCATTTAAAAAACACTGTGTAGATATGTTAACAAGGTCAAATGTGTTTTTCTCCTTGACCCTCGACCCTTGAGTGAGTCTTTAAGTGGCAAAACTGAACACAACAGTAAAGACAGCACAGCAAACAAATACATCTAAAATATTTAATATTTACAGCACACAAAAAAGGTTTTCAGACATGTACGATATTTCAGGCTTTTAAAGAGAAATGTGCTCACATAAAAAGTCAAACAATCAGAATCCTCTGCATGCCCATTTCAAAATAAATATCTGTATACAATGTACACCACATAAGAATCTCACAAAGCTGAATATGTATAAATATTGTTTGATACAAAAGATACGAAACAACTGAATATCAGGAATATTGAGAGTTTGCGTTATTAAAGCATCACATAGTGTTTACGTCTGCAATGTTACACAATAATCTGATGAATGAGATCCCCCGAAGATCTTAAATTTCTTCAATTGTCTGAGTTGGAGATGAACTGATGTCCGCGTGACAGTGATATGAGAGGTGCTTCACCCGCCAACAATTACCGTTGTTAAAATATCACAAAATACTGTAATAAAAGGCTTAACAAGTCAGATAACAGCTTCTGAAACAATATCTCATTATCTGATGCATCATTAGGTCCTCCATGTGATTGCCTGTGTCGGAGTAAAATTCACACCAGTGCAAACACACGTCATGTTGTGAAGCAGCATCAGACGGTAACATCTTTGTCCCTGAGTGGTTTCAAGACCTGCGCGGCTCAAGTTCATGAGAGAGCTGAGTTAGCGTCCTCTGGTTGTCGATGACGCTGAGCTGACGGACGTAAGACCAAACGTCTGGGTGGTTCTTGCTCGCCAGCGGTGAGTCTGGACCTGATTTGAACAGAAAGAAAAACGTCAAGAATTGGGAAAAAAATAAAGTGAAAACCTTCTTTAGAAATCAGTACAGAGCTCTGAAATGTTTTAAAAGTTGAATCAAATATTCAACTGACTGATTTTTTTATCCTACACTGTAAAACGCTGTAAAAAAAAATATATATATATATATATATATATATATATATATAAACAGGAATTTAGTGGAATCAACTCATCTTTTCTTAATGCAAGTTTTTTAATTTTACATTAATTCAATCTAGAATATCTTGTATTTGTTGTCAGATTATTTTAAAACTTAGATTATGTAACATTAGCTGATGTATTTTAGTCTTTTTTTTTTATTCAGCTGAATTTATCTACAAGTTTATTTAGCTCATTAAATCAAGTTTTAAAAGAAACTAAACTAAACTGATAGCCAACTTCCCAGCATGCATTGTCGGAGAGTTGAAGCATTCCTGAGACTCTTTTCTGGTGGCTTTAGGAATTGATTCACAATTTAAAAATTTGCTGTGTGTCATTTAAAATGTTATGTGGAAGGTTAGCATTGAATTCACTACCAACCCCTGTGTACTTTAAAACAACTGGAAGCAGCTTCACATTTCATCTAAAGTATAAAATGGTTTCAAAACGTGGAGCCGATAATTGTTCAATTTAAACAACAAACTGACTCCTTAAAGTGAGAAAATGTAAAAGATTAGTAACAATTGTCTGAGAGACCACAGAGACTAGTTTAATATCTAACGCTGATTGAGTTTCTTCACTTAACTCAGCTAATATTGCTTTTCCAAACACATAAAAATAAAAAAAAGTATTCAACCTATGTTCAGTTAACTCATATCTTAAGACAGCAGAGGAAATTCTGTTTCTACGTTGAAAAAACTTAAATGATTTACAGCGTAGCTTCATGGATATAAAACGATCGATTGGGACTTACTGAACGTTTGGCTCCGACAGTATCTCACTATCTTCACTGTGTTAGCTATCATCCGCTGAAAGACAAAGAGCCACAATCAGCAACAAATGTTGGCAATTAACTGAAGGATAAAGAAGAAAATGAGATTTACACCAACTCCTAGACAACAATCTGCACCTGCTGAGCCTCACCATTTTCTCAAAATTGACCAAATTGTCGATAAATGTCTTGTTGCCCTCATGAGTGAAAGTCATGTCTGGAAAAAAAAAACACACACAAGGAGATGTTGTAAGTAAACTTAGAGCAAATTGTAGAGGTTAAAGCTGTTGAGGAAGCAATTCAACAGCAAAACAATTGTGGTGTACAGGCCAAAACGATGAGACATTAAGAAATAAACGGCCATCAGATAAATGGGTCTGACCTTTGATCAGCAGTGGCATGAAGGGAATGATGGGAGGTTCCAGTTTGGCCACGGTCAGCCGATACGCCCGGTGGTTCCTGGACGGGTCCTGTGGAAACAATCACACTGTTCTGAGATCTGCCGACTCTGTGTTAAACGGATCCATCACAGTCCTGACCGAAGGCCACGCTGCTAAACCCACAAGTGGACTCCAACCAGCTGAGTTTGCACTCACGCTGGTTTTCACTTCAGTATTTTCTCAGACAGAAAACAAAACTACTCAAAGATGGAGAGGCTTTGTATTGAAAAAAGTACCAAATTAGATGCGTCAGCTTACCATCAAGTTTTCAAACTCCACGTAAAACTTCTTGAATTTGCTGGGAAGTTTCTGTGAATACAAATAGAGGTTACCTTGTAGTTAAGGTGCTGATAAATCTAAAAACAAACATACAAACTGTGCACAAACACTCACCTCCCAGGTCTGACTCAGTCTGCTCACGGCTGGGTTACTCAGTCCCATGATGACCGCGAAGAAGGCGTTCAGATTCCTGTACTCCTTACAGCTTCAACAGAGAACATAAAATGGAAGTTTGGGTGGCAAATAAACAAAACAGACTCTAAGGAAAGAGAGAGCAGAACGGACAGTAAAACAAGATCTCCTTACTGGGCAGCGATCTTGATGAACTTCTTGAGGAGCTGCACTCGCTTGCTCAGCTGAGAACACAAACACATCTCTGTGATCACCCAGAACTGAATCTCATTAAACCTCCTCAGGAACAGGTCCAGGTTCACGGTGGTTTTCTTGACGTACTGCCTCCCGAATGTGTGGTAGATGAGTTCAAGCTGTAAGACGGCAAAAAAAAACAACAGCTGATTTCTCTCTGAATAACAGGAATAATAGCAATAGCTGACAAACTTAAAACTAGTTAAACATCTCCTCATTTAGAGTCAATAAATCAAGAAAATTTATCGGATACGTTGTGCCAACCTCATGAGAAATATACTGAATCATAGCTGGTAATGGAACCCAGTTGCTCTATCGTACCTCGTGTACACAGTGGAAAAGCTCCCAGTCGTAGGAAGTCATGTGGTAAGCCACATCCTTAGAGCTCATCAACTCAAAGGTGGCCAGTGACCCTGTAGAGGGGCCCTCCTGCTCGGGCAGAGGGGTCTGAAAAGCACAAACAATCACGTTAAACCCACAGAAACACATAAAAATGTAACCCAAAATGGCACAGTAATTTCTGTCCATTCAGTGGGATGCTTAAAAGCTAGCTGGTGGCTAATTTCATGGAAGACTTCACAAATATACATATGATGTGGAAAAAAAGAAATTGCTGGCTGAAACAGATTTTAGAGCAGCAGGGACATACTGCTGGGTGGAGCTGCAGCTAATCTACTTGCGATTCTGTGTTTATGTTGTGCTAAAGTCATCTGCGGCATGTGTTTTCTGAGAGATATTGACGCACCAAAGAATCCAACTGGTCCCTCCGGCAGACAAACAGGCGTCCGTTTATGCTGAGTGTGGAGAAAACCGAAACGTCGTTGGGCTTGAAGACAGATTTTTCTGTAGAAAGAAATCGGAAAGTGGTTAAAAACATACGTAACTCAGAGTTACTGGGAAATGTTGCACAATGTGTGTGAAACTTGTGTGGTTTGCACAAGTTAACACAAGTTGTTATTAAAAAGTTTGAAATGTTGTACAAACATTCATGTCTGACTCTGGATCATTTGTAATAACTTCACAGAGCCCTTAAAATTACATGCAATCCCATCATAAGCTAAATTTTCAGCTTTTACATTTATTCAAATACAAAGCTAAGACGCCGATCAGCTGCACTGTGTGTACTTCAGCATGATAACATGTTAAACTACAGTAAACATCATATGTAACAGATAAACACTGTGGACCTGTTAGTAAGCTGAGCTGTTTGCTCAGGGCCTGCTTTTCCTCCGTATTTACACAAAGCTCAAAAAAATCTTTCTGCAAATGCTTTTTTTTTTTTTTTTTTTTTAAATTTCGAAGTGGGCAAAGTGGTTGCAAAAGTTTCGGTTTCACAACAGTGTTCCGGAAGTTATCCCACAGTATACCACAGTATGAACAACACAATACACAACTCCACTCTGTCAGAGCAACTCTTTCATGCTTTTACATTATCACATATAAACACTAGCCTGGATTTTTCTTTGCAAAGCTACATTTTATTGGTCATAAATATATAAACTCTGTGATCATCAGCTCCAAGTAGGAGAGCTGATTTGTTTACTTGCTTCTGGTGAGCAATGTTCAGGTCATGTGTGCACTAAACAGGAGCTGCATAAGTGCTTTCTGGCAAAACGTCACGACAATAAGGAGCAGCCACCAACATCAACATCCTTGTGCTGAATGTTGTGAGAAAAACTGAGCTCAGCAGCTCCTGAAGCAGCCGATCGGAGTCAGCAAACCAAACGCAACAGGCCACTCATTTCCCAATACATCAGCCAGGGTGAACTGCTCGGGCTCTCCCCTTTGCTGTCTCTAATCATTTGATTAACACGTAGCTGCTGCCGCTCTCACCTCCTGCTGAGCTCAGGTTGACCAGGAGCAGGTCCTCCGCTGACCCCAGCTTGTCGGCCACGGCACCGATGACCTCCCTGACCGAGGTGGCCACAGAGACCCGGATGGTGGTGTAGGTGTGGTCGCAGCAGTAGACTTTGAACAGAACTGGAGGCATGAATCAGAGTAAATATGAGACTGTCAACAAGAAGGAATGAAGGAGTGGTAGTTTTCAACTTAGAGGTCAGGAGATAAGATGAAAAGGAACTTCTTTATTACATCTTTATGTCCACTCTGCTTTTCCTGTGAAATCCTGGATGCTGCTTCTTTTTTTTTTTTCTTTTCACACTATTCAAATGAAACAAACTGGTAAAGAACATCTACTGCATATCAGCTGCGATATCAGTGTTTGCATGTACATCCTGGTTTTCTTTTAAGGGTTTGGGTGGGAGGAACAAAACTGTATCAGCATTTCCTATTTCTAGCAGTGTTTAATAAGAGCTGCCTGTTAAGAATCAGTCAGCAGTGTCAGCAGTAATGTACATGTGTGTGACTGGGCAGCCAAAAGGGGGACATTAGCGGCATCATCAGCCTAATGATGCAACTGAGGAATCGACTGGCACTGCTGGTGTTTGCTAAGCCACATCCACACTGATACTGTGTCCAGACAAAACGTTTTAAGAGTCATTCGAATTAATAATCCTCATCCACAGTACTATGCGTGAAAATGCATATCACCTGGACAGTCAGGTACAATAGGTGTGCCTGTGCCAGTGTAAACAGGAAGCAGAGGGTTGGTTGAGTATAAAGTGATTTATATGGCTGTGATGAATCAGGGAAGGACCCACGGTGATAAAATTCAGTCAGGATGCACATGTGGATGTCTGTGTCACCACTTTCAAAAGTTTTCTTTTTCCATGTCGATACATCGACACCACAACTGGAGTTTCTGAACATCTTTTTCCAAAAAGTCAGTTTTCAGTAACTTAACATTGGATTTGCATGTGGAATGAAAGTCTCCTGGTGTTAATGTAATCCGACAGATTAAAAAAAACCTTTTTGTAGTAACTCTACACACAACTTGCATGCAAAAGAAAAAAAAAAACAAAAAGCACATTTTGGCAACAATACTGTAACCAGGCGATAATCTGTAAATGATCTGAGTGACCAAAATATATAAATCCCTGATACAAATTATTAAACTATTATCAATCACCTGAAGACTAGACAGAGATTACAGAGACAATTAATAGTATAGACTATACTGTATATGACCACAAGGTATTTATAGACCGAGCATGTTTGTTTAGTCTTTACTCACTTTCATCATTACTCTTGATTGGCTGGCGTTTCTGGAGCTTCTCATCTCCCATGCTGAACTGCCGCAGCAGGATTTTGTGCTGTGACAGAATAAAGCAGCATCAGTTTCCAATATGCACAGTAAAACATCTGGACATGATGTCTAATTTAAAAGCAATAAAGTCAGTCTCATACCTTTTTCTGTAAGGACCTGGCATCCTCGGCTCTAAAAAGGAAAAATTAAGCAGCAATGAATCAATCTTACCTTGTATGGGTTTGATCATTAACTTATAGAAACGAAACAGGAAAATAATCCTGATGGCATTGTTTGTATCATCAAAGACTTCTCATCCACATTAGAATCTAAAAACACTAACTTACTTGCGCTTTACAGTTCTCTCCAGCTCTGTTAGTTGATCCCTGAGGGTTGGAAGCACTTTGGCATCATTAGACACCGCCAAGAAAAACTCCTGCAAAATACAACGAGCTTTGAGTGAAGACAAGTTCTGCAGAAGTCATACAGAAATAAACTGTAAGATACATTTTATAATTAAGTTATACAGGTGTTGTGGACTGCTGGAAATAACCAATGAGCTGGTATAACCAAACACAATTATGTTTGCTGTTGTAAATAATTTATATGGTAGTAGTAAACTCTGCATTTTACATTTTAGAGGTTTTTAATATTTGTGAATCTGGAAAATGGGTTTTTTCCATAACCACCAACCAACACTTGCCTAAACCTTGACCTTACCATTCAAGAGTGCAAAAAGAAAAAGAGATTAAGAATACAAGTAAACCCATTGAACCTTAAAACCAGCCAGTCGGTTTGAAAACCTTTTTAACTTTAAGAAAATCACCAAAGTTACACCTTTTAAACCACCAATTGTAAAAATCAGGAAAAAAAAATCATTGGTTTTCTACATGGCAATCCTTGAACTACTTATAGATGACGATGGGTAACTAATCCGAGCCTAAATTGTGTTATTTCATCAAACTCAATTTATACTACATGCCTGTTTTTTTTTTGTTTTTTTTTTTTAACTGCAAAAAATAAATCATTAACTGTGTGTAGCACAAAAACAACACTCATCACAGTGACTCAGCTTCACAAAAAGTCATGTAATAAAATATTAATGACTTTTCAGACTGTGTTTACAAGAAGCAAAATGAAACAATTACGAAAACTAATTCAAGTTGTAAATATTATCTAGCATGTTGAGCCACTGTTTTCTACAGTATTGGTGACACCTGTGTGGACTTGGGGAAACATTGGACATGTTCATTCCAGTTTTTTTTAATTGTTTTTAGCGTTGTAAATAAGAAAATCAATTAAATGTATTATTTGTGGCATTATAACATTGTTATAACTCATAGTTTTGTTATACTTTGTCATACAGAAGACTTTCTCTCTACTTCTAGCCATGGTTGTGCTGTTTCCATAGGACTTTATATTGTAGTGAAAAATGAGCCCACAGTAAGTAAAAATGTGAAGAAAAAAAACACTCAGAGCCTGGTTGGGGCTCAGAGGATTACTACAAAAATGCATGTTGCTGCTGTGACTACTTTATACCCACAGCAGAGGTTAGAACCACACTGATATGTTCGGGCTGACCTCTAGGAAGGCCACCGAGACCTCCTCCTGCTGCAGCTGATCTCCAAGTACGGCAGCCCACCGCATCACCAGGCGGATCACCCTGCGCTTGTTGTTCAGCGTGTAGTCCAGCTTCTCCTGGTCAGAGCCCTGCGAGGCCTGAGCATGGTAGCTGCACAGCAGTTAAAGATCAAAACAGTGTAATTACAGCAAACAAGGCAGCTTCACAGGTCAGGAAATAACATTTAACCACATTAGGGAATTCAGTTCAGAGCTGAAAGGATATTGGGCGAGCAGCACTGGACAAAGTTGACTGTTTGGTATGAAGACACAGTGCATGAGCACAAAGTCATCCAAGGCTGAATCTGGGACACACACACACAAAAAAAGGAGACATTTGCGTCAAACACCTGCGTTTGCACTACAAGAACACATCAAAGAGTGTCATCAGGCCCTGGATCCACATGGCCCTGTCTCTGCCACCTCTGCAGGCAAATGAAAACCATATGTATCCACACAAGTGAGAGTAATTAGATCAGCTCTGTGATGTGTGGCTAATTATAGACGAGAACGAACGGGTCAGTGCAGAGCAGTCGGCAGAGGACAGAGAGAGACGGAGCCAGGGAGAGTGGAGAAGAGATGAAATGCACTGCGTAGGTGAAAACCCTCCACAACAAATGATCATTATATTGATAGATTGTATTAGATGGCACTAATCTGACGTCCTGGATGTGGCATGGTGAGCAGTACCTGACTCTGTGAATTGAGAATCCAATCGCATCATTTCAAGGAGGTGCTCCAAAATCTTCTCCGGCGTCCCAGACATTACCTTGTATCTGGAGCAACAGAGAATAAAGCACACCCTTCACTAATCAAGAAACACTGGCTCTTAATGCTTAATGACACGGCTATGGCCCTCGACTGATTTATGTTACTCCAACGTGTGTCTGTGATTGCTTCATTTGATAACAATCCTATTTACAATCAGTGTTCTTGGCCGGCTAAAGATGAAGGGGAGCCTGGGCTAAGTGGCACAAGAGAAGACAAAAAAAAAATAAAAATGTAGGGGCATCTTCTACGTGAAGGAGAATCAACACAATCCAGCCTCGGTTGTTTTCATTACTTGATAACAGCATGACAAGAGGGAGCTGCACAAGCAACGCTGTGTCTCCCCTACTCATGGGGGAGAACACAGGCTTGACACTCTCATGTGTGAGGAGTAGAGTTGATTAGAGGGCGACCCTGAACAAGTAATTGTGACTTGCCAGGCCTTCTTTTCCCCCTGGGAGCAAGGCCATCATTACCATTAATATGTCTCTCTATATTACAGCGACAGTGGTGCAGTGACAGATGCCTCTATTAAGAAAACACTCGTTGGCTGCAGTACACAGGATTGCTGTGTTTGTGCAGCCTGTATGTTTTCATCTGCTGGTCATATTAACTGGATTCAGGATTTTTCTTTACTGTACACAAACAGCAATGAAATGATCAGATAACAAGAAACATCCACACATGCAAACGCCTGCTGAAGCTTCTGTGCTGCAGACTTCCATTGTTGTTCAGAACTAAGGGCATCAGCACAATGGCTTATGTGGGAATTTGTAATGCTTTAAGATACCAAATATGTACTAATATACTTCTGAAAATAGATGCTAATAAACATGCTGTGTCTATTTATCTTAATAAACTTTTGCTTAAAAAAAAAAATACAGTAACTGCTTTAGGTTTTTTAAAAATCTGACTATATTAGTGAACCCTTTCTAAAGAATCTCATGTTCAGTCGGGACTAATGGGCTTTGGGTTTAGTTCCACAGGGTAGGAAAACTCATAAACTTTGTTGCCAATGTCAGAAAAGCAGACTAAGACCATTGAAATGTGACTGCTACAGTGCATCAGACTGCACAGATATCTTCAAACAATTCACTTTGAAAGTTTGTTGTCTGCTTTGCAGGATCAGTCGCCACACTGATGATTTTTAATTTTTTTTACCTTGTTAATAAGTCCACATGGTGTTTTTTTTTCTTCATATATATGCTTGAGACCATATCATGAGCGTAACAAGTAGGCAACACCATGGTGGAGTATTTTTGCCTTAAAACTGCAGCGTATCAGTGACAGTCTTTAAAAAAAAAATGGGATTCAGACTTCCAGAGTTTAAAACAAACCATAGGAACTAATCCTGTCAGCTTGCAGGGTTGGACTTCTTAATTTTTTTCCTTCAAAACTGGTTCAAACATATGCGGTTGAATTACTCTAATATTACAGTGTATGTATGGTGTAGCATAGACTAGCTTTACAGTGTTTGAGCTGAGCAGTAGGTGAGCTGGTGTGCTCGAGTTGCAGCACAAAGTGATTGGTGGGTAGAGACAGAAGCAGGGACTTCATTCTAAAGGAGGCAACAGTGTAGAGTCTAAGTATGTAACTCTGATAGATGGAGATGAGTTTTTAGGGGTTACGTCAATGACTTAAATCATTTGATGAAGCACTGTTTTGTGTCAACAGGTACAGCTCTGTCCCGCATTACTGTTTGGGTCGTAGGCACATTTACTTGTAATGGGAGGCCGATGATCCCTGGATGGAGGTTCGACTGCTGCTGAGACTCTTCTCTAACACCAGAACATCCAGACCGTGCTCCTTCAGTCGCACAGTGTTGGCCTCCACATCCTTCACACAAAAACACACACAGTGGATACATAAAAGTTGATTATAGAGACACATGACCCATATAAACGCTATTTAAGTTCATGTATGTGATCTGATAACACTGTTAAGCAGCTGTGATTTATTTGAAGATTTGTTTACAATATCTACAGCAAAATACAGGAAGAAGAAACGAGGTCAAAGGTAACAGCTTCCCGCTGGAGGATGGTAGTGTTACCACTGGATGGGGGTAAACCTGTGACCAAGTCCAGAGCAATATGGGACCAGACTGAAATACCTACACTGAAGAAAATCAATGAGATCCCAGTTCAAAATAAAACTAAATTTAACGCTTTTACAGTTTTCTTGAGTGAAGTGGGGACTGTTACATCAAAAGCAAGGGCTGAATTATTTAAACTGACTTAGCGACTCAAAAAATGTACTTTTAAATCAGTTATTACCTCACAAACAATAAATCATTTATTTTGTTTTTTATATTTGCAAGCTTGACACATATCGGTCTTATGCTGTACAGCCAAACTTTGTTCAACTCTATAGAAAATGTAAATTAAATTCTAGTGGAGACCAAAAGTTTCCTCAAATACCTGATATATCATGTGAGTCTACATGCTGGGGAGAGCTGGTATGTTTTTATTTAATTGTGTTGGAATGTTTTAGAAAGTTAACATGCATAGGAACACTTAAGAAGGGGAAAAAGCCAGCACATATACATATAGGCATTCATATAGGCTCCATATTTATTTTACACTAATCTCTTCTGCTGTATTTTACATCAAGCAGGAAATTGATGACGGCGACGGAGCTCCCAGATGGAGGTTTTCCACCCAACAAGTTTGCATCCACAGTTAATTAACCCCAAATCAGTAAAACAGGTCATTATCGACATATTTCATATTTAGTGTAATGACTAAGCTAATGGGTGCAAAGGCCTGATGAACAATCTTAAAGGATGCATTAAGTAACTTCAGCAGCTGCATTACTGAGTTTCTACCAACAGAGGGTGACAGTGCGTTATGCTGTTACATCCACAGACATCAACCAAAAACTCACCCTCAGAATCCTGTTGAAGTCCTCCTTGTCTACTCTCAGGAAATGACAGTTGTCCTCTCGTAGGACAATGGAGGCGGCTCGGGGGGCGTCGTTGACAAGAGCCAGCTTCCCAAAGTCGTCTCCTTCGTGAAGAGTGCAAACAACGCCCTGTGGAACAGTGTCCTGATCAGTTACCGACTAATGGATCGATGCTCTCCTCACAGCAACGTAATTACTTTGATGCTTTCAGTAGTCACGTGTGAAACAGATACCTTTCCATAGATGACAACGTTGACGGAGCCCTTTAAAATAATGTACCATGATGTGCCCTCCTCCCCTTGATTGAACACTGAGAGAGAAAAGAGACAGAGAAAAGCTTTAGTGGTCTGATATGCACACATCTAGTTGGATTGCTCCTGTAATGGAGTCATTCAATCATTAGCCAGATTTAATCACCAGCATTTTAGACAGTTATTGTCTTCATCAGGTTTTTGTGAAAAGTCATTTTGTCGCACTACTTACACACAGTTCCTGCCTTTGCATGGGACTCAAAGATCAGCACTCCTGCCAGCTCTCTCTTTACCTGCACAAACAGAGGAAACAGATTTATAAACCGGGAGGATCAGTACTAACAAAGAGAGTACTTTTCTCCTTGTCAATGCCCCACTGGTAGATTGTCCTAAAGCTAAATCTGGCTTAGACTTTTCCTTGGTTTTTGATTTGAGTGAACCCCAGTAGCAACACAAGCAGATGATTTTACTTTTTAAACGAAAGGAAAGAGATGAAAACATATATACAGGCTTGTTTGTTTGCATGCTTTTGTTCTCTCTCTTCCCTGTCACCACTCAAATGTGAACAAATGTGCTGTGAGCTGAGCGCGTTTTAGCTCCTACATGAACTGATTTTCTGCACAGTATCGGGTTTCTTACGTCCACATAAGACAGAGATTCTGTACTCACAGTGGTGGACAGGTGTGACAAGGCCTTAATATGGAGCAGCTCTTCATAAATGATCTCCAAATCATCTGCCGTTCTTTCAGACGGACTACAAAAAACAAGACACGTAGAAGAAATTCATCACAGTGATTCACTATGTTTCACATCACTTCAATGACTGCTTCTTTAGAGTCGTACTGTTTCTTCAGAATCATCCTCATGTGGGCATCAGGCCCAATCTGTGAGAGGAGGAGCAGAGTGTCCTGCAGCTCCTCTTGGCTCTCCTTCCTCTCCTCCTCGCTGGGTAAAGGGGCGTCCTCCTGCTCGTCGTCCAGGAAGCGATAGAAGAGGTACTTGTCCTGGAAGCTCAGCTCCTGGTCCACTGCGTCACACAGTCACACAGCACACAGCACACACCTTGAATTTCAGATCTCTGATTGGCGCGTGGACGTGTGCAGATAAATATCACGCAGAGTCTCACCGTGGTTGAGAACACCTTCTTCCAGCAGCACCTGCCACATGCCAACCGCCTGAACCCGAGAGTGCACGCAGGAGCTCTGCTGCATTTGCCAGTCGACCAGCTCGGTCCCCACACAGCACTGCCTGGAACACACACGAGTCTACGTGAGAGCTAATACAGGGCTGAGCGCTTATGTGATGTGTTTACTGTCGGATTTTCATTATTAACGGATTGTCTGTTCATGATTTGTGGTTGTTTTCTCTTGTTCTCCTGAAGAGTCACTATTGTCTGTTGTAGTAGCTTGAAGCTGTAGCTTAATATAGAGCATCAAAATAGATTTATCTTTGAGCTGCATACTGCTAGTTTGAAATAAATACATTTTTAAACAATCAATGCAGTCTTTCACAAATACCAGAGCAATAAGATGCCAACTCACTTGTATGTCTTCAGATGGTACTTTCTGTCTCTGATCATGTGAGGCGCCCTGGAGAGGATGGCGTTACGCAGAATCTTTCCTGCATGAAGGATCTTCTCAGAGGGAACCTGCACAGTAGAATAAAGTTAAATCTCAGCACAGTGGAGTCTTACTGAGTAGCTGCCACATAAACAGGTAATGACTGACCCCTAGGTACAGAAGGTGAGTGTTTACTACCTGAGAAATGCATTTAGGGTGGGGTTTGGCTGGGCTGTCAATGAATGAGTTCTGCAAAATAAAATGAAACAAAAAATGAGAGGAGCTGAAATGAAATTCTTCATGGATGACAGTGAAAATCGATATTAGACTCAGCGTCACAAAAACTGATGAGGTTTTGCTGTTGAACACATCGGTGCAGTAAACGTGTGAGAGCAGTCCAGTCAGATGGTGGGTGTTTTCCCCTCGCTGTGGGCCACAGGATGTCGTCCTCACCGCTACTGCATGACTCACCGCTGACGTTATGTTTTTAGCCTCCTATTTTAATTGAACTTATTACTTTGTATTGCTTCTGAGTCGATTACCAGAGTCCCGGCCGGTGCGTTCGGCTGCTCTGATGGGACGCAGATACTGTGCATTGTTGTATACATGCGCTCTGCTTTGTTTTTCTCCAGCTGAGGCCACAGGGTGGGCTGCAGGACTGTGACATTTAAAATGCATTCTTCATGCTTCAGAGAGTAGTGCAACTCATGCATTTATGTGAAGGCTTTAAAGCCTCATCATTTATTTACTAGAAATTAGCCCACCAAAGAAGCTGGGCTGTCATAGTTATTATTTATATATGTTGAAGTAAATTTAAGTTGTAATTGTTCGTTACATAACAGGAAAGCAAACGATGGATTGCGTCTTTTTTTTACGTACAGGAACAATTGTGTTGTGACTAAATCCCATGTAGGAACAAAGCCCAAGGCACCATAAATCTGCTGTAGTGCCACTTTATCAAGCCAGCGGTCAGGAAATGACAGCAGGAGAAAGGTGGGACAGGAACTGTTCACGACGGAGACAAGAGCAGCAGTCACCTTGTTTATATTTAGAGCAGCTTTAAACAAACTTAGCATTCTGCAAGTATTTCCATCCTCTGCTGGCGCGGCGGGCAGCGGCAAAGGATGCTGTTACGTCAGGAAAACTGAAGCTGTGACAGAATGAGTTAAAGCTTAATTTTAACTTGTTGCCAAACTTATCAGCTCTCTCCTGGACAGGAGTAAGACCAGTTATCCAGGATTATCACAACCTCTGACTGTCTTCCATCACGTCCAACACTACAGAACATAAAGTCTTGTGCTAAATCATGAATGCGTGTGAGTGTCAGAGGAATTACCTTGTTCTGATGTTTGGAGACTGAAACAAACGAGTTGTTGCTTATGTTCTCTTTGTCCGGCATTCCTGGTGGAAAAACAGAAGAAATGTTAAAATACACTTTGTGGAAAGTGACTTCAGATCTGTGATTAGGAATAAAATATTAGAGTGACTGCCAAACCCTGTATGTTCATTTATTTATTAGGAATTTAAATCACAACTACATCAAAATAATCTATTTGCTTCTGAAAGTCCTGCATAGTTCAGTCTTTACAAAACTGAATATAAGCTTTATGCAGATTCCTAAAAACACTGTTTTCCCTGAAAACAAGATTCGTTGTCATGTTTGATTCTTTTCCTTTCAAATTCAGATTCTTTAGATCCATCGTTTTCAACGTCTGATTGTGTGAGTCTACATTTCTATTTTTATTTATTTACACTTTTTCCTTCCAGTTTCCTTCCTTTCAGATGTGCCGATATTCCGTTCTGTCACTACAAGAAAATTTAATCAGAACTTCATCAGTGTATTTGTTAGTTTGCTCATTTTTCTACTTTGTGACTCAAACAGGAAATGTTTTTCATTTTTAACCACAGTCCTGACAGCAATCATGACTTTGACTTTATCCATTTAGCTTACAGCAGGACAAATTTAAACTGGTTTCTTTTTTTTTTTTAATTTAATTCAATCATATTCAAATTTGCATTTCTCCACATTTAACATGTTATTAGACTGTAGTGCCCTAAATGGCATCGTCGTTATTACCAAAGATTAAAAACCAATAAAAAAGGGCTTAAACCAGCGTCTATATTCTATATAAAGAATCCTATATAGGGACTGTTAGCAGGGTGTGGTTATTACTCCGTCTTGGGAGCTTTGGGCTTGTACTGTGCTGGTCCCCTTCAGGACAACTAACATAATCAGTCAAGGCTGCTCAGTCACAACTGTATCTGCAGGGAAACACTCAGCTATTCTTAGACGCGCCTCTCTGACCGCCAATACCGTAAAACCAGATACACAGTACATACAACACATAAATGTTGCATGAAAAAAGTAAATCACAAACTGTAACACTGGCTATACATTCAGGAATATGAGTAAAGCTTCTGTCTTGTTAACTTTTCTCACAGTGTTTGATGAAATTCCTGGTTTTGGTAAATGTTTTTTTCCTGTACAAGTTGCTCTTAGATTGTGTAACAGGTGTTTGGACCACAATGTCCAACAAGGAAAACAAAAATGAGAACAAAAGCGTGACCTCGCAGATATTTTTAGCACGAAAACAGATTAAATTAAACTCTTTACATCAGAATCTGTCGTAAAAACTGAACATTCATACATAGAAACCATGGTGATGCCGGACACCATCTTATTCCATTCCCCTAGAAAAGAACCATATTTTGTTGTCAACCATCTGCTTGCATCCCATTACAACGAGGTTCTATTTATAAGTTGTGGATCTGTGCATGTGTATTGTGATTCTGAGAAGTTAACACAGCTGTCCATCATTTTATTTGTGAAGCTCTCATACTGGCCCATGTGACACCACGCCACTCGTTTAAATGTCACATCAGTTCAATCACATTAATAGGAATGCAGCTTACAGTTGGCATGTGAAAATCAAAGATCAGACTTTCATCAGGATTTTTTCAGATTTCATGTTTCAGAGCTGAAAGAATATTTAACTGCAGTTTTGCCGAAAGGTGCTCAGGTGCTGAATGCCTGACTGAAGCGAGTGAAACAATGCTGACTCTAAAAGCACTCACCTGTCAACACCAAAGTGCTGTAAAAGCACGGTGTTGTTGTAGCTAAAAAAAAAAAAAAAAAAGCAGTTTAAGACATGTTTAATTAATTCGACTCGGCTTCGGTGCTGTTACCAAACTGCTGCGGACGCCCCGTACAGTAGAGTGCCTCAGCCTCCAGCTGCTGATGCTTGTGTGACTTCTGTGTTGGTGTAGTCATGCGTAGAGAGTGCACACTGTAAATCCCCTCAGTATTCTACTGTATGCTGCAAAAAACACCCAGAGCGCTGCTCTTACAGCGCTGCACCACCACATGCAGCAGTGATGAAAACCACAGTGTCCGGCTTTAAGAGCAGTTCATTTATCCACATATTTTTGGTGTGTGAATTTAACACTGTGAGTTCTTTAAAAAGCCATCATGGCATAAATAAAGCAGAGAAACCTTGTGTTTAAAATGTGCCAATCATTTATGAACTATCGTTAAAAATGCATAAGAATATACAGTAAATCTGCTGTCAGTGAGTGAACCAGCCGACTCTGGGTTTTCTCACTGCTGTTCATCATTTTTATGGTACATGACTTTGAAGCAAGTTAAGTGCTTTGTTTGAGCAAAGCGACGTCAATATTGAGTTAACTTGCAAAAGAAAAGCATGCCTTTATCATAATACAAGAGGATAAAGGTCTGACAGTAATGGAGTTGGGCAGTGCGGCCAGAAAAATGGGTTACTTGGAACTTTTATGAAGTAAAAGGGAAGCCATGTGCAGGAAACTGTGTTCAAAGTCCTTCATCTCGATATATTCTTACTCTGAAGATGCTGATGTACATTTTGTGAACTCTTTATTTTCCTAAATTCGGTTGTGCTTATATATACAATGTGTTTCTCATTCATCCATTCACATACACATTCATACACCAGTGGTGACAGAGCTGCCCTGCAAGGTGCTGCCTGTCATTGGGAGCAACTCCAGGTTCAGTGTCTTGCCAAAGGACACTTGGACTGTGGAGGGGCGGGGGATCGAACCGCCAACCTTGCAATTGGAGGACAACCCGCTCTACCACCTGAGCCACAGTTGCCCATAACTTATACTTATCTGTACCTTTATATGTCAGCTGACTGATATGAAAATGATCCAAATGCAGGCTTCTGCATCTGAAAATGTGGGAGCATCTGCAGCAATATTTTACAGTCAAATGTTAGAGTGAAATTTAAGTCACGCTTTCAAATCCACCAGAGTTCATCCTGTGTGATGGATCAACAATTTACAACTGGGACAAAGTTGGGAACAAAATGGGTCTAAAGCACTTGAAACTGTAATGCAAGACTACTTACTGTCAGCACTGCTTTCCATCACACCATAGGGTGGGGCGAGTAGTCCAGCCATGCAGTGATGATATTTCTATAAAAACAGAAATAAGACACACACACAAAGTCGTTATTGTGGTTTCATTGTGGGGTTTTTTCTCAGTAATCAGTATTTTAGGTCAAATTAGATTCAGTGGTGCTTTCTTACTTTAGCATGTTAACATTCTAACATTAGCACTAAACTTAAATCACAGCTCAGGCTGAATGGAAATCACAAGTTTAACAGGTATTCAGCCACAAACCTAATGAACTTTTGGCCTTACGCTGGTACTAAAGGAGAAGTTAATGCAAGTGAAAGCATTGTTAAAGTGATACCAGTGCATCCTGTGGGAACAAGAATGTGTGTACCTAGTTTTATGACGCTCATTTCTGAAGCCGCGACCGTCCATTAAAAACCACAAAAGGTCGACCGCATGGTGGCGCAACAGGAAAAGTTAGAGAATCACCAGTTTTTTAGATGCTCTGGAGACCATGAATGTCTATGAGATGTTTCTGGACTCATGTGCTAACACAGTGGACAATGTCATTCCTATGGAGGTAGCCAAGCAAACAGCCCAGCTAAAACTGCCCCTTGTACATTTTCATTCAGTAGATTATGGGTCATCATCAGAATCATACGACAAGCAGCAGCGTCAAAATTGTAATGTGTTGAAACTGAACAGCTCATACTTTGAAAAAATACTATGATTTTGGCAAACATGTTTTGTTCCAACAGCTCACACATGTCTAAATGGTAGGGTCACTATGAAATACACACATCTAGTGAGTTCAAGGACAGACAATAGTGAGCATAATCTAAAATGAACACGTTACAGCAGTTTGGTGGTCTTTGTTCTTCCATGACTCCTCTTGTACCAAACGAATTATACCAGAAATCAGTTCACTGTGATTTGAAAACAGCTCCTTAACCCTCAAAATTCTAAACTCACCAGTGGGTTTGAAAAGCATGTTGCCAAAATTATACCATTCATGAAAACCAAAAACTGTGCAACAGAAAGAATTGTCTGATTTTGAGTTTTCCAGTGGTCCTTGAAGTAGTCATCTGTGACAGACATTTAGTCGATAATTCTAAGCCCAAAGTTGGGATATATCATTAAAATCATTTTATTCTGCATTTCACATTCAAGTGTTGGCTCTAACCATCCATCCATCCATCCATCCATCTATTATCTATACACCGCTTAATCCTCACTAGGGTCATGGGGGGCTGGAGCCTATAACAGCTTACTTAGGGTGAAGGCAGAGGACACCCTGGACAGGTCTGCCTCTAACCAGATTCTCTAGAATAAATAAATAAATCTGCAGTTTTCGTCGACCATGAAGTCATTAAAGACTCGACAGTAACCAACAGTCACGTGGCAAAAACTGAGCTGCAGGCTGTGTTTACACAAAAGACTTGGATGAATCAAGTACGGACACAAATTAGAAATGATTCCAGGTTTTTTGCAATTGTAATATGAATAATCAAAGTTTTTTTTTTTTGTAATGATTCATGGCATTATAACTGTGTTACACTGCACAAAAGACCGTTTTGAGCTCTCTCTGCTTATAGCCATGACTGTCATGTTTCTATAGAGATGCAGGACTTTATATTGCAGAAAAAACTGATTCCAAAGTGAGAAAAAAAAACTGTGAAATGCTCAGAAAATGCTTGAAGTCCAGAGGGTTTAGAGATGGAGAGGAATTCCCACAGATAACTCTGAGATTAAACTTCCACGCTTTGGTTTCTGCTTCTTAGTGAGTCGTTGTTTGCTGAATGTCACTTCTCTCTCTCTCTCTCCTCCAGCATTTCTTGTCCCTCTCTCACTTTAATGTTCTGTCTAATAAAGGCAACCCCCTCAAGAAAAGACATCAACCCCTCTGCCATCACTTGTCTCCAGGCTGTGAGGACAAGAAAAAAAGTCAATGAGAGTTTCGGGTGTTTGTTGATATTTCATCCTCATTAGTCTGAACATGCAAATGGAAGTAGGGTTCAATGACTAATGATCACAAAGTGGGGAGAACACCATGAAAGTCATCATTAGACTGCTCAAACAATGTGAAACTCAAATCTTAAGTGTACCGTAGTGGTAATCCTCAGCTTCCCTTCCTTGTCCGTTCCTCTTTTTCCTTTCCTCGGTGTTATGGCCTTTCTAGATTGCATATATAATCCTCAAGGCTGAGAGTCACAAAGTAAGCAAAGCACGACAATACCTCCGTACTTGCCTTTTACCGTCACCGTGCCCTGCAGCAGCAGCAGCACAGATATTATGTAATGAGCATTATACTGCACCCATGCACTCATGTAAAGGCCATGTTGTTGTTTATGACGCCGGTGCACAAAGAGGTCAATCTAACCGTAGTCAATGAGCCATAAGAAAACGCTGCCCAATGCCTCATATGACAAGATCATGGGTCGATGTAGAGCGATTTTCTCATGTTAAAAAATATAAAAACAATTGCCAAACGCTAGAAATCTGTTCATCACTCGGGTAAATGTGATGATTCTGTCACCGACATCCCTGGTGGGTAGGCCACTTTATTTAATGGAAACCTGTCCACAGCAGATTGACTTCACCGTGTTATTACAAATTATTTCTGTTGTTTTTACATTAATACTTTTTTCCCAATGCTGTCTTACTGTAGACGCTGTGTTAACGATTTGCAGTTGCAGAGAAATGTCGCAAGGCAGGAAGAACACCGTGGAAGCAAACTCAACCCAAAGTATTTGTGGTGATCTATGTTGTCAGATTGAAAGCATTTCGAGTTGTTTTCTTGGTTTAATCTGAAAGAAAAAAAAAATTTACAGCCCAGTGTCACAAAAAATATATATATAGTAACGCTAATCCACAGCACAAAACCTATTAATCTTACAAAATTGTGACATACCGATGTTTTTGAGGGCCTATGCGATGGGGCTATAATCCCAACAACATAGAAAACAACCATAGAGTTGTGGTTAGTGTTTGCATAGGTGCATTTTAACCATCTTTTTCTGAATCTAACCAAGTAGTGGCATTTTTGCAGCGTAACAAAAGCAAACAGTGACTAAATACGATTAAAAAAAGCAACATAAAACAGAAAGCAAGAAGAAACTGCGAGTGAAAATACCTCAAAACAGTGGTCCCACATGAGACCTAAACCCAAGTGTCACAAGTCCCCAATTTATGCCACCTTCAGGGACTTTTGTTGCTCTTTTTATCAGTAAAACTAAACAAAAATGTATCAGGTGACATGAAACTATAGGGTATTGTGAAACCAAGCTGTGGACAAATGTAGCTATTGATCATTTTTGGTGTGAGATTGTGTTTGAAAATTTTTAAAAGCCAATAGGTACGCTTTTATCTTCCTATGATTCCTTTTGTAGGGTAAATAATAATGGTGTACTTGGTTCTAGAGTATGTTACCCTTAAGTTATTGTATTTTTTTAATGATTTCATCAGTTCCACATTTAAAACAAAAAACCCTCCTGATCATATCAGAGCATCCACGCCACATGCAGTATATATCACACTAATGCAAGCTCCATTTAAATTGTATTTTCTAACTCAAATTTGTCAAGTAGATTGATGGCTCAATATTAATTTGGGGCAAAAGACAAACAAAAACTGATTATGTGTGGCAGGCGCTACCTTTCAGGTCAATAACAAGCGGATTGAGGACCACTTAGTGCATGACCACTTCTCTCTACCTTCCTATCTTCTTGGTCAGTGGAGACTGAATGAAAGCAAGAACTCTGGAGCCCATTTGTTCCCCCGACGGCCACGTACTCAGAGGTCGCGTTTTAAATTCAATTCTACCCTCCGAAGTCAGCTAATCACTTTAGCAACCCTTTAGGGGAACACAGCTTTTTCCCTCAATTAAGAAGGCGTTTAGAGATGCCTCAGTGAGCTCAGTTTTTAAAATGAGAACTGACTCGCTGCTCATTGAGACACTAAAAGATATTGATTAATGTCATCACTGAGCTCAGACTATGAAAATGTGTCCGCTGTAGAGTGACTTTGTACACATGCAAACAACAGATTTAATTATTCAAAGTTAATCACAGCTGAAGCATTGAAGCCATCGGAGCCACTTCAGCGGTCCTATCAGTCCTTGTTGACAATTAACGGATTTAGGATTAGGGAGGAGCACTTTAACTGAGGAGCACAGGAACAAATGAACTCAAGTCCTCTGAGCCAATAAAGCTGCGCTCCCTGAGGGGCTGAATCCAGCAGGCAGGGTGGGAGTGTTGTTTCAGACCAGGATTAGGAACATTGTCAGGTGTGTAAAAAGCACTCAGTGTCTGTTTTGTTAGTAAGGAAGCGAGGTGACACACAACACGCCTGATGTCATAAGCAGCAGCCGCCGGCTCACTCCAGGCTGTCGACAGCAAATTTACCTTTCGCTTCTATAACAGTGTATTTTATTTAATTTTGGGGGGGGATAAAAATGCATCAGCAAAATCATCTCTTTGTTTGAAGTTAAAATTAACTGATCAGTTGACTGACAGCAGCAGTAGATAACTGAACTATATTGTTAAAGTCATTTACCAAGCAGACAGGCCAAGCAGTGCTTAGTTTCACTTAATTTAGTTCATTTTTTGCTTTCTTTTTCTTGAATTATTCTACATTGGAGGTCAGAAAAAAACAAAGTCAGACAAAACAAGACATTTAGTGATGCTATTGTACATTTTAGGAAACTACAAGATTGTATGTAACTTCCCTGATATTTTGTGGACCGAGAGATTGATATATTACTTAAGCAAACTGTGCAATTAATCAATAAATCAAAAATAATTACTGATTGGAAGTGTGCAGTTTACCATAAAAGACTAAGATAAGAAAATTAATAAATATCCAATCTTTTTTTTTTATTGTTGTTGTTTATTCATTTGTTTATTCATTCATTCATTCATTTATTTTATTCTGTTGCCTGTCTGCATTTTTGTGTTTATGTGTGCCATGGAAATCACTTTGTTTCTGGTATTTTGAAGAGAAAGCATCAAAGTTAATTAGCTCTGTCATTTTTAACAGTAAAACTTTTTACTGCAAATGCAAAGATTCATTTTTTTTT